ATCAGGATCCCTGTATCCCTCAAGTCACACCCCATCAGGATCCCTGTATCCCTCAAGTCACACCCCATCACGATCCCTGTATCCCTCAAGTCACACCCCATCAGGATCCCTGTATCCCTGAAGTCACACCCCATCAGGATCCCTGTATCCCTAAAGTCACACCCCATCAGGATCCCTGTATCCCTGAAGTCACACCCCATCAGGATCCCTGTATCCCTCAAGTCACACCCCATCCCAGGGATCCCTGTATCCCCTCAAGTCACATCCATCAGGATCCCTGTATCCCTGGAAGTCACACCCCATCAGGATCCCTGTATCCCTCAAGTCACACCCCATCAGGATCCCTGGTCCCTCAAGTCACACCCCATCAGGATCCCTGTATCCCTCAAGTCCACACCCCATCAGGATCCCTGTATCCCTCAAGTCACACCCCATCAGGATCCCTGTATCCCTCAAGTCACACCCCATCAAGGATCCCTGTATCCCTCAAGTCACACCCCATCAGGATCCCTGTATCCCTCTCAAGTCACACCCATCAGGATCCCTGTATCCCCAAGTCACACCCCATCAGGATCCCTGTATCCCCAAGTCACACCCCATCAGGATCCCATCAGTCACACCCCTCAGGATCCCTGTATCCCTCAAGTCACACCCCATCAGGATCCCCTGTATCCCCTCAAGTCACACCCCATCAGGATCCCTGTATCCCTCAAGTCACACCCCATCAGGATCCCTGTATCCCTCAAAGTCACAACCTCATCAGGATCCTGTATCCCTGAAGTCACACATCAGGATCCCTGTATCCCTGAAGTCACACCTCATCAGGTATCCCTGAAGTCACACCTCATCCAGGATCCCTGTATCCCTGAAGTCACACACCCCATCAGGATCCCTGTATCCCCAAGTCACACCCCATCAGGATCCCTGTATCCCTCAAGTCACACCCCATCAGGGATCCCTGTATCCCTGAAGTCACACACCCCATCACGATCCCTGTATCCCTGAAGTCACACCCCCATCTGCGATCCCTGTATCCCTGAAGTCACACCCCATCACTGTGATCCCTGTATCCCTGAAGTCACACCCATCAGGATCCCTGTATCCCTGAAGTCACACCCCATCAGGATCCCTGTATCCCTCAAGTCACACCCCATCACATCCCCATCCCTCACGTCACACCCCCCTCCCTGTATCCCTCAAGTCACACCCCATCAGGATCCCTGTATCCCTGAAGTCACACCCCATCAGGATCCCTGTATCCCCTGAAGTCACACCCCATCAGGATCCCTGTATCCCTCAAGTCACACCCCATCAGGATCCCTGTATCCCTCAAGTCACACCCCATCAGGATCCCTGTATCCCTCAAGTCACACCCCATCAGGATCCCTGTATCCCTCAAGTCACACCCCATCCAGGATCCCTGTATCCCTCAAGTCACACCCCATCAGGATCCCTGTATCCCTCAAGTCACACCCCATCAGGATCCCTGTATCCCTCAAGTCACACCCCATCAGGATCCCTGTATCCCTCAAGTCACACCCCATCAGGATCCCTGTATCCCTCAAGTCACACCCCATCAGGATCCCTGTATCCCTCAAGTCACACCCCATCAGGATCCCTGTATCCCTGAAGTCACACCCCATCAGGATCCCTGTATCCCTAAAGTCACACCCCATCAGGATCCCTGTATCCCTGAAGTCACACCCCATCAGGATCCCTGTATCCCTGAAGTCACACCCCATCAGGATCCCTGTATCCCTGAAGTCACACCCCATCAGGATCCCTGTATCCCTAAAGTCACACCCCATCAGGATCCCTGTATCCCTGAAGTCACACCCCATCAGATCCCTGTATCCCTGAAGTCACACCCCATCAGGATCCCTGTATCCCTAAAGTCACACCCCATCAGGATCCTTGTATCCCTCAAGTCACACCCCATCAGGATCCCTGTATCCCTAAAGTCACACCCCATCAGGATCCCTGTATCCCTAAAGTCACACCCCATCACGATCCTTGTATCCCTGAAGTCACACCCCATCAGGATCCCTGTATCCCTGAAGTCACACCCCATCAGGATTCCTGTATCCCTCCAGTCACACCCTCATCAGGATCCCTGTATCCCTGAAGTCACACCCCATCAGGATCCCTGTATCCCTAAAGTCACACCCCATCAGGATCCCTGTATCCCTAAAGTCACACCCCATCACGATCCTTGTATCCCTCAAGTCACACCCCATCAGGATCCCTGTATCCCTCAAGTCACACCCCATCAGGATCCCTGTATCCCTCAAGTCACACCCCATCAGGATCCCTGTATCCCTCAAGTCACACCTCATCAGGATTCCTGTATCCCTGAAGTCACACCTCATCAGGATCCCTGTATCCCTGAAGTCACACCTCATCAGGATTCCTGTATCCCTGAAGTCACACCTCATCAGGATTCCTGTATCCCTGAAGTCACACCCCATCAGGATCCCTGTATCCCTGAAGTCACACCTCATCAGGATTCCTGTATCCCTGAAGTCACACCTAATCAGGATCCCTGTATCCCTGAAGTCACACACCCCATCAGGATCCCTGTATCCCTGAAGTCACACCCCATCAGGATTCCTGTATCCCTGAAGTCACACCCCATCACGATCCCTGTATCCCTGAAGTCACACCCCATCAGGATCCCTGTATCCCTGAAGTCACACCCCATCAGGATCCCTGTATCCCTGAAGTCACACCCCATCAGTATTCCTGTATCCCTAAAGTCACATCCCATCAGTATTCTTGTATCCCTAAAGTCACACCCCATCAGGATCCCTGTATCCCTCAAGTCACACCCCATCAGGATTCCTGTATCCTTGAAGTCCCTAAAGTTAGGTTGACAGACTATATAGCGTTATTATACAACCCTACCCAATGAATGGATGATGTAAAATGTATTTTAAACGTCAATATTGCAACGAAATCAGCATGTCAAATGTCCGAATTGAGGAGGGACAGAGAAAAAGCTCTCAGCGTAATGGACAATGGGCAGACACATCTAATCCATTCAAGTTCAATGAAACGCCACAACAACTCTCCGGCGCACAGAAAAAGTCGCTCATACTGTTAATGTAGCAGCAGTACACATCTGTGTAAAACATAAGAACTGATATTTGTATCTCCTTTGTATTTAAACATAACTCGACAGTTTCTGTTTACCGACTAAAGCAGGACAGTATGCGTTACCAGCATCATTCATTGCACGTTACCAACATCCTCGCGCGATTTTAAACAAAATTATTCTTCAACACATAGACATTTATAAGCAAATTCAGTACATTCAATGTATTTCCACCATCAAAGTTTATCAGTGTGCTAAATATTGTTGATTGTATACAAGTGGAAGGCTGCTAATTCGAGGGGAATAATCGCCAAGCGATCTTGTCTGCCGCAATGTTGTGATGTTGGTAACTTGCGTTACCAGCATCACCTTAGGTACAGTGATAAGGTTGACTTGTGTCGTCAGGGTTAAGTGGATAATGGTCACGCCACTAGGTCATTTCTTAGTGAGTGAGTTGAAATTTAAATTCACATCAGTGGTATCGTCACAGATCATTTGATAACAAGTCACACAAGTTTACATACACTGGTGTCAGGGTTTGCCTTGACATCTAATTTTGGGAGTCACAATGACTATCAAAATTATTTTTTCTTGGGGAGTCAATGGCAGAAATTTGACAGCCATATTACATCTTTTTTTTTAAAGATTTCAAACCATTAATGCATTTACCTTTGTATATGAAAATAGACTGATTAAATATTGTTATATGAAGCTATTTAATTCAGGAAATATGAAGGTTAACCAATAATTAGACTTTCCGAAATTATAACTGTCGTGGCATGTTTTTTTACTTGTGTGGTTTATGTAGTATTTTGATGATTTCTGCATCCTGGGATTGTTGCCATTGGATTTTGCATTTCAGGATTGGTACAAATTATGCAAGTCATACCCCTTGAACTGTAGCCAAATATGTGCCGGTAGCCATGCATGGCGAAAAGTACACCAGAGTTGTGGGCTTCTTGCTGACATTACATTGCTACTGATGCCTTTGTCAACATTATCATAATTATTTCAATCTGTTGTTTAAATTTGTTGTGTGTTTTGCTCAGTATTGGCAGTTTATTTGAGCAACAAATTTCTAAAATGCCCATAAAATAATGTGACAGCCCTCATGTGCTTTCTTCTGATTATAAGCTTTTCCCCTCTGGTTGTCTTCTGCAAACACCAATACTAAGACTGACTGACTGACTGAGTTTGGTTTTACGCCGCTTTTAGCAATATTCCAGCAACATCACGGCAGGAGACACCAGAAATGGGCTTTACACATTGTACCCATGTGGGTATTCGAACCCGGGTCTTCGGCACGACGCTTTAACCACTAGGCTACCCTACTGCCCCCCAATACTAAGAACAAACAGGACCCGTGAGCCATTTATACCAGCTAGCATCCATGCTCTTAATAAATGCTGTACTTAATTTTACACTCTAAAAGTTATTAAGTTTCACTAAATAAATTTATTCTTGACATATATCCATTATTATTATTATTACGTCTGGATTCTTGTATGTTTTTTAATGACTATGCTTAACTTTGATCATGTTGTAACCTCCTTATGTATGGCTGTTTCATGGTGTCTATAAAATATATTCTAAGTTACCTTTTACAGGTAGGAACCGCTTATGATGTAAGACAAATTTCATATTGGACAATGAAGTAGTTTCTTATCTTATCTATAAAACAATCACATTGAAAAACAATTTCCAACCTTGACTGTGTTTTTTTTAACAAAATAGTTTTTAAAAGCTGTGATTTATTTAAAACGTGAGTAATAAAATACCTCATTTTCCAAAGGTCAGATAACATAAGTAGTTCACAAGTTTGGTAAAATTGGGACCTATTGAGAACTTATGTAGTGTTCTATTTTCATGTCCATGTCAAACTTAGATGTGATCCACTGATCCTTACCTTGTTTCCGGTGTAGTATTCCCCTCCAAACATGATGAGTTCATCCTTCTCTGGATGGGCAGTCAGTGACATGTTGCATCTGGAGATCGTGGTAAAAAGGAACAGACTAAACCATGTGTAGAAACCATTACAGAGCAGATACTTATTTAAGCAAGTGCCCATATTATGCCTAAACATTAGCATTCATAGCTTTATTAAAGTGTAAATGTGATTGATAGGTTGAAAGATAGCCTCTATAATACGAATGCTTGAGTGAGGTGGGCCATACAAGACATACTCTACCAAACCTCCTACAAGATCCGGGGCGGTGGGGTAGTCTAGTGGTTAAAGCGTTGGCTCGTCACGCCGAAGACCCGGGCTTGAATCCCCACATGGCATAATGAGTGAAGCCCATTTCTGGTGTCCCCCGCCATGATATTGCTGGAATATTGCTAAAAGCGGCGTAAAACCAAACTCAGTCAGTCAGTCAGTCCTACAAGATCCCACCCGTGAAGATCCGGGTTAGAATATTGGCCTTCAGTAACCCATGCTTGTCATTAGAGGCGACTAACTGGATGGGGTGGTCAGGCTCACTGACTTGGTTGACACATGTCATCGGTTCCCAATTGCGCAGATCGGTCTGGTCCAGACTCGATTATTTACAGACCACCGCCATATAGCTGGAATATTGCTGAGTAAAACTAAACTCACTCACTCCTACAAGATCCACATACTGTACAATTACGTTTATCATATGTCTACCTGATCCTTTTGTAAACATTAAATGTCCCTTTTGTAAATGTACCAGAACTCATCAGGTATAGATATGGTGAAAGAAGTAATTGTTTCAAAGGGTGCATAAATCTTATACTGCACTGTAACACCTATAAAGATCATAGATGAAGTACCTGAAAATGAAAACTACGCAGGACACAGACCTTCCATTGTGACTGTGAGCTTATGAGGTTATGAATACCCCAAAATGTTGCAGAAACACTCCTATGACTAGACACACCCCATTGCTCCATATCAAAATACAGTCAAATGCAATATAAACTCAAAGGGACCACATATTTTAGTATCATGGTTATAACTGTAGTTCATTATATGCAATTTGACTAAAATATACAGTAAGAGACAGTTCATTACATCAGTCAGTTCGATATACACTTGTTTCCTATAAATGTTGTTTACTACAAATCTACAACAATATAAACAACACACCTTGGCGAAGGCGGACCACATTTTTCTTCTATGACTTGTGTGAGTCTCTTATCCTTTGCCTGAAACTCCGCAATCAAACTCTCGATGTCTTCCTGAAAGAAAGAATTAAATCTGATGATAATCTGGAATTGAGATACATGTAAATGAGATGTGTATTGTACACAGGACTTTTCTCGTCAAATAACATGTTGATATTATTGAGTGATGAGACTGGCAACATACCATTTGACAAAGAAAGCCAAATATTATATTGATGTATTTTCTGCCTGATTTTGGTATGAATCAATCGATTATAATATGGTCTCTGACGCGACTAATGGAATTGCGTGGTCAGGCTCACTGACTTGGTTGACATGTCGTCGTATCCTTATTGCGTAGACCATTGCTCATGAAGTCAGTCACAGGATTGTCTGGTCCAGACAACAACAAACATGTGATGGTTGCCTTCAGATCAAGTCTCAGATGTAGCTATGACCATTTTCTGAACTAGCAAACAGCTACAGTAACTGATGAGCACACTATCTGACATTATCTATATCGATTCAGGCAAGGCTTAGGTCACTGGTGGTTCCCCAGGCTTTGTCTCTTGCTTCAGTGACTTCCACTGATGCTGAAGGGGTCGTTGTCGGCACGGGTACTACAGATATGTACCCCAGGTACGTTTCTGTATACAGAAACGTACCCTGGCCATAATGAGAATACAGAAACGTACCCTAGGACGATTCCATTCCCACCGTGTTGTATTCTTGATCGGAACTGTCATGCTGTTGTATTAGATACATTTGATTGCTTCATGTAAGTAATGAGAATACACAGTAACAGATATTTTGCGATGCATATGAAAACCAATCGCAATCAGTTGAACGGGAACAACTACATGCAGTTTTGGTTTTGGATTGCGGAATATGGACTCGTCCGCCTTTTAGGGTACCAGGTACGTTTCTGTATTTTGACTTTGTTTAGGGTACATATCTGTATACAGAAACGTACCTGGGGTACGTATCTGTAGTACCTGTGCCGACAACGACCCCTTCAGCTCCACTGATGCTTCTCTCTGGGCCTTATTGCTATTAATGTCAGGGTTAGGTTAAGATACCCCTTACTTTCCTTTGAGTTTGCAACACTTTGTAATCATTAGAGTTAATTCTACTTATCTAGATACCAATCCTGGTCACTTTTATAGCAGTGCATGGTTTGAGTGCTCCACTTTGGCACATCAGATTGGTTTGATAATCAATCTTGGAGTTACGTCAATGAATCATCGCTTGTTCGTGCACATCAAATTCCCTTCCAAGCGTATTTTAAACTCTCACGGTAGCTACAACTAGTACAAGTCCCCATCCTTCACGCTCATGATGATGATCATTACTTACCTCTCCCTTCTCAGCAAGCTCTTTCTTCGCTCGTTTTTCTGCCTTTTTCTGTGTTTTCTGAACAGTCTTCTCGATGCCCTTCCCCTTCTTTTCCTTTTTATTCTTTTTTCCCATGCTGTCACACAACTGTCAGTCTACGATCGCTCTTAAACTGTCTAAACGTCGCTGTCACTATACCCGATCGTTTCTCGATCAAACACGTGCACCTGAAAATACCCAAACACAGATTTATACGAATGTCCCTGCGACATATTGTTATTTGAGTAGTACAAATGTACTGTAGCAATCTAAGCTTCAAAGTGTTCCACAAAGCCAACTTAACCCTGACATTATGACTGCATTTTGGTCTTGTCATATATTTAAAATATGTTACGGTAACATGATATTCCTGAACGTAATAAATAATTTGAATGTGCAATGAAAGTAGTTGGGGAAATACGTTCTGCTTTCGGCTATATTCGGTAATCACCGGTGAATGGATGACAGATAGACTGGGCTCCCGATGGCGATGTCGGATTCCAAGAGCGGTACCAGTTTGGCGATATGAAATTATTTAATGTTGTTGCTTTTAAAGGTATGGATGATAACTTCAATTTTACAAAACATTGACAGACCAACATTTGGCACCCAGGCTGTCTGTGTCGGTAAACTATTTTTAGCTGACAAAAATAGGTTCTACAGTTCTTCCTTAAAATTGCTGATGCTGCAATACGCAGCTCTCAGACAGATCCTTGCTGGCGAGATTGTCTTATACTTCCAGCGAATGTAAGTGTAGGAAAGTGTACAATTGAGTGAAACTCAGCACTCTTGAAGAAGACATTTTCTCACAAAAACAACACGTCTAGCATTACTTGCTTGTAATATACAATTTGTAACGGGCGGATACAGCTTTTTTTTAGAAAGGGGGGTGCACAGTTAAGAAAGGGGTCCGGGGAAGCAATTAAGTACATGAGAGTTTCAATGGTCATTTAATAAACTTTCAAGGGGAGAGATGCGCACCCCTGCACACTAAAACACACACACTCTCTCTCTCTCTTTCTCTCTTTCATCATTCTTTGTAATTCTATACGTTCATCCATCAGAGATTCTATATGTATTATTTGATTATTACAGGATGGATAATGGGATTTTCACGAAAGAAAATCGAGTTTGTGTCACATGGAAATTATAGCTTCATTTTATGATGACAAATAAAAGGACAGTTACCAGCAACCAACGTAAGTGAACTCATAAACCTTTACAGTACCCAAGTGTTCATGAATATAGCCGTTCTAGAAATGGCCGATATTCGGGAGTTAAACAATGTTCAAACCTCCATTTAGATTTCACTTTTTATTGTGTATAGATATATAGTTAGAAACTTTGTTTGTGGGAACTGTTTGTCTTGAACATTGTCTCTTGCCTCACAGGGGGCTTGTAACGTACAAATGGCATCAAGGTATAAATTGTCACTGACGGGGTCTTAGCACTATATACTTTGATGCCATTTTTGTGTTACAAGCCCCTGTGTCTTGTCTGACATGTTTGGGATATAACTACAACACTGGTTTCATAGTTACAGTACTGCCTGAAAATAAGTTCACATTTGTCGTCAGTGTATTGTTTCGTCGCTTTATGCAATAACCATATATCGTTTGTTTGAAGGCGGTGGGAAACTAGACATTTGTTTAATTTCATTTTAGTCACATATTTTGTTGTACCAGAAGAATTACACGTACCTGCGAATCTTTGAGGAGTCCTGAACGTTCAAATACATGTAGCTGATTGGCTGTGATAGGGTTGGGTGTTGTACATATGATACCGACTGGAAGGTACTGGTGATGTGTGCAAAGAGAGGCAGTTTTCGGTCAGGGGTTACTTTAGGTCTTCGTACCTTGAAGTATCGCTTTTTCTTCCATCCTTCAACAGCATCTCTTCAGCTTCAATGGCACTTTGCGCATTCCGTAAATTGGGATTTCTTTTGGTGTATGCTGTATGAATTTATGTTTTATGTAACCGCCGATAAGTTGTAAAACTTAGGTTAATAAAGCATTGAATTGAATTGAATTGATAGTTAATACGAGCAGCGAGCGAGATCTCTGTACATCTGGATCATGTCAAGCCAAGTTAAATATGTGACTGAAGATTATCTCCCCTGTACATGTCACTCTTTGGCAACCACCCCAGTATGGCTGCCCATTAATTTCACACAGTAGTACTGTTACAAAAAATATCCTATGATTATGTTTAATATTTCATCTCTAAAATAACCCCATCTTCAATGCCTTGTTGATATATGTTTTTATTCACTCGCATCCCCGTGAACGTTTGTTACATGCAGCCTCCTTGACTCCTTCAGGGGGAAATCTTTCGATATATGCTTGGAAATTAAATCAAAACGAGCCTGAACGAATGTGTGATAAATAATGTAGACATTACCGATTCTCTAATAAGGGATGGAGTTAAGATCGATCTAGCTGACGCTCAACCAGAATTGATTAACTCATGCTTCACCAGCTCTGTTATAGAACCAGCTAGTAACTATTGCAGGATGATGCCATGCTATAACCGAGACGAGGGTGTCGACTGCAGTTTACCACTGTGACCGAGGGAAACCTCGTTATGATCAGGGGCGGTAGTGGTTAAAGTGTTTGCTCGTCACACTGAAGATCCGGGTTCGATTCCCTACATGGATACAATGTGTGAAGGCGATTTCTGATGTTCGCCTCCGTGATATTGCTGGAATATTGCTAAAAGCGGCGTAAAGCATAACTCACTCACTCGCCCGTGATTAACCGATCTAGTCCAGAAGAAACATGAATCAAAGAAAATGGAAGCTGTGTGTTCTCTGACATACCCAAACCTGGCCTTAAACCCGTTCACATTTATCAAATGTGGTCAAAGCCGATTTGAACATTATCTCAGTTAAATTAAGGCGTTAAAATGTCGTAAAAATAAAGGTCACAAACGTTTTTGAGAAATGATATATAGTACATGTCTTCAGACAAAGAATCCCCAAATCGCAACAAATCCACGATTAGCAAATCCTAGTACAGCAAAGGCACATTACTCTGTATATACCAAGACGCGTCATGGTTCATGAAGTGGGCCCCGTTTCATAAAACCCGCTAAGAGAGACGTCAATCGAACAATGTTTTTCCATGGTTAACTCGACTTGACTTTTGCCTCCTGTCAGGGCGGTGATATAGAGATAAACGCTAAGTCCACGATAACTATACCTATGTAATGTGTGTTTGTGTGCTGCGTGCGTCTGTGTGGCTGCTTGAACTAGTCCGACTAATGCCGCTTTTATAGTGCTCGTCATTGCATCTCGAGGAGGTCCGTGAAGATCCGGGTTGGAATTGATCTTCAGTGGCCCATGCTTGTCGTAGAGGCGACTAACGGGATCAGGTGGTCAGGCTCGCTGACTTGTTTGACACATGTCATCGTATTCCATTTGCGTAGTAACGGTGCTTATGCTGTTGATCACTGGATTGTCTGGTCCAGACTCGATTATATATTTACAGACCGCCGCCATTTGGCTGGAATACATTTGCTCTGCGTAACATCAGAGATATTGAAAATATACTTATCTACATTCACTCATTCCATGCTGCGCCCAACTCGGACAATTAATACTGGCTTCCACCCGACAAGTCGGCGATGTCACAACAATGTACCGCATCTTAAACGCCTGTTGGTATGACCCGGTCGAGGCTACGACCTTCAGTTCCAGCAGACGCTCTATCCACTACTCCGCGGAAGCGAGGTTACTGGATTTTCTTGAAGCATGAGGACTCCCCTCTGCACTGTCTAAGTATACTCAAGGACGAGCGTCAACAAGTAGTTTCTCACCCCATACATTAATGAATCGCCTAAAAAGCCAGTACAGCTGTCGACTTCATCTCTAGCGCGCTAAATATACCTTCCATGGGAATGCATCTGTATCCATTGTAGAGACATGAACACTCCTGTACAGACACATGCTGCTGACGTGTTTTCCCATAGGTTTAGCATTACGAACATTAAGAATATGGTCTCGCGTGAAAACTGGGACAACTCAAACGCATGCGCTGGGCTCTTCAGAACATGCATGCACTGCTGGCAGATGCTCTGCTATCTCACTGCTGTGTTTTGTCAGGAGTAATGATTTATATAGTTCGAGATCAGCGAGTTTATGACCAACTATTTTCACATTTATTTTGTTTGAACATATTTTATTCAATGTTGAAAGGGATTAGGCACAGGTTACGTAACTTATTACCGTCCGCTCCCATCAGAAATATGAACAATAATGAATGGACGTAATGAATGGACATAAAAATATTAAGACATACAATGTATTATTCATTAATCTGACAAATTTTGGACATCTTAATTGAAAGAAATGGTTAGCAACTTCCACCGGCGCACCACAATTGCAAGCATTACTCTGATAAATTAACACGAAAAAGATCTGCATATGAACTACACGAATGTCTAAACTTCGTGTGTAGTATATTTGTCTTTCTTTCAACAAATATAAAATAATTTGGAACTTTGTCATTATTTTCAGATAACTTTGATTTAAACGATGATAATGAATTTGTACATTTTGTTGCAGAGGAGAGAGCATTCTATAAACTTGCAGAATCATAAATAAATGACTTTTGGAGAATTGAGGTGCGAAATTTAGGAATAGCCAAATCTGATTTGTTACGCAAGTTGTATCCAGAAATGGTTTCAGTAAAAAGTGGAAGTAAATCTATCAGGTAATCAGGAGCATGTATATTAACAATTTTGTAGAATGTACAGAGTTTCCTTTGTCTAACTTTCAATGGTAACCAACCAGTTTCACAGTATAAACTATATCTTGAAGCGAATTTAGGCAATCCGGTTACAATTCATGCTGCTTCAAGTTGTAACATTTCAAGTTTATCACAAATAAAGCTAGGGCTTTAGTGTCACATTCATTGACATTGGTGCCACCTGTGACATTAGTATCAAGTCTGTCTCACAGTCCCCGAACCACATTATTTACTGCCTACCCTCTCTACAATGCTAAAGTCTATATTATATGTGTTTATTTGTTACTATCAACATGATATAGATTCAAAGACTAAACGTTAGTCTAGTTGATATAATGAATTGTTCGGTATAATTAACTTGATTAATCCCTGCCATAATATTATTCTGACAAAACAAATAACATAATAAGGATGTCACAAAATGATCTGATGCTACAAAGGGCAGCGTTTATATATGAAAAGTGCCTTCATATATATACTCTCCCAAAAAGAAACGCGTCATGAAAATAGCAATTTCATGTAGCAATGAATTAAAACGTGATTCATTT